TTGTAACCATGAGATGATCTATGAACATTAGATTGTGACTGACTGCCTAATTTCTAGACTTGATTTTGCTATCTTAACTTAGGATAATGAGCCTTCCAATGATCTTTTTATTTACAAAAACTTCATTTGTAGAAGGTAACCCTTAAATAATGCTTATTCTAATTATTAGGGAATGACTTAGAAGGTTTTGCTAGTATAAAAGGATTAGAGGTAGACAAAATTTTCTTTTCAAAATAAGACTGAAAATATATTTCTTTAGCCAATAACACACGAACAACATAATTAACAAAAGGAAGTGGAGAGCAATGCAAAATTAAACATTTAAGTCCTTTAAAATCATTACGAAGTACTATTAAAAATTGTATCAATTTTTGCTACTTACTATGATTAATATAGGCACCACGTATTTTTAATTTTGCTAATTTTATAAGAACCAATTGATTCCAAAGATTTGTTATAATAAAATAAAATTCTTGAATACTCTTATTCTTTTGGTGAAGAGCTCATATATTGTTCTCCAATTAATACTATTTTACAAAATTTAATTAAGTGGATAACCTTTGTAGATAATTTCAAACCTTCTTTGTTGTCTCATATTTTACCAGCAGTGTATTTATGAAATGCTTAATAAAATTGTTAATCCAAGTAATAATCTTTGTATCGTTTGCTTCCAAAGCATCTATTAAAGCATCATAACCCTCATTAATATTCTTAGATTTCATAGGTGTTCCACTAACATATTTACGCATTTTTTTACCCTTAAAAAAAAATTTGTTATATAACTTCAATATGAATAATTATGTTTATTCAACTTTACACTAACAAATTAAAGTAAATCAATTTTTTTAGTAATCATAACCAATAAATAAAAAAAACATAACACAAAAAAAATATCAAAATACAAAAACTAAAGGAATTATATGATCAATTCAAATAAAATACTCGTTCCATGTAACCCTATTCTAATATCATGTTAGATAATTAACAAAAAATAAAAACAAAGTTTGGATTTTATTGATGCTGTATAATATAATAATAAATTACTCAAAAAATATAACTTAACCTGAATAAAAAAAAGACTCTATATAAGCTTAAAAAAAAATATTTTACTATTAATAAATAATAAAATAAAACCACTTTATATTTCTTAAAAGCACTCCCCTCTACACTTGCACCGAAACCGGACATGATTTCGAGGTTGGGCAACTGGTAGATGAGCAGCCGCTGCTGCAATGAGGTGTTCATAGAGATTCAAAGCTAGTATACAAAAGTTTTGAGGCGCCGAAATCTCTATCAAGTAAATTCATTCCCGTGACCTAGATAACCTAGGCCTAGACCACGCTGAATTTTCTTTTTTTATTGTTTTAAAAAACATGGAGAATCAATTAAAGATTCACTCATTCGATTTGGAACAAACGAAGTTAAAACTCGATCAAAAGTCCGTTGATCATGTTTTTTTTAATAAAATAACAAAAAATGAATCAGGAGAAGGAAGAGAGAATGTTGACTGACAATATATGAGTGCCTGTCTTTCCGGAATCTTTGCAAGATTTGACGTTACACAATCAAAATGAAAAAACAACCACCCAATTCTTGAATTCTTAAGCAAACAATCAAACATAATCAACTAATTTTTGCCTTCTTACTGAGCTCATTGCTCTCACGACAGACACCTCATTCATCCATCCAAACGTGCACCCCACGTTCCACCAACACATACTACATGGCACAGAACAGAAACTAAAGCCAATCAAAACATAGTAAATTCTTCGAAGAACACCAATCTGTTGAGTCATTTGGTGGCTGGTCTTATCTCCTCCCTTGTCTCCGACCAAGGACAAGGTGTGAAACATCTCTTATGTTTGTTCATTGCATAGAACCGTTTCTTTTCTTTTCGTAATTTTATTGCCTACGAACATTAAAGATGGTTCGTGCTCTTGAGCAAGAGCAAGAAAATTATAGGTCTAGATTGTATCATTTCAAAGGGATGAATGAGAATGCAGGCGGTCGGCATGTTAAGAGCTTGAGCGCGGATGATAGTTCTAGTTTGGCAGAATACTCTTCAGTGGATGATAGAATAACATCTAGAGGCCATCAGCCTCCGAGACCTGTTAATGAAAAGGGTCCTAGATCAAGGTCAGCCAAGGATGAAGCCGGCGCTGCAGGAAAAGATAATAAAAATCCAGGCAAGTCAGATTTTTTTTTTTTTAAAAAAAAAGAAGTTCGTGTCCAAATATCTCATTTCATTGATTAATAATGTATGTCATCCAATATCTCATCTTTTCTTTTTTGGTGAAAGGAAAATCATGAGAAGATGGTGCTTGTTTGCATTTATTCGATTTTGGCAATTAATATGATTTTTGCTATGATCTCCTGAGGTTTGATTCAGAAATGGAACAGATGAAGGAAAGGTTTGCTAAATTGCTCCTTGGGGAAGATATGTCTGGTGGAGGAAAGGGTGTCTCTTCAGCTCTGGCATTGTCAAATGCAATTACAAACCTTGCTGGTAGGTTGACCTTTTAAATTTTTCCTCTGCAATTTTCTAATTTTCATGGTCTCCAACCCCAGCAGGAAAACATCTCCATTGAAATCTTGAAGATACCCCAACAAACATGGTGGTACTTGTATGTCTATTGGATTCAGATGGTTAATATTCCAGATTTTTCATGTATAAAAACTGGCCATCCATGATTTTTTCTTTCTTAATTCGTTAGTAGGTTTCTCTCATTTTATTCCATCCTATATGCAGCTTCTGTGTTTGGCGAACAACGACGTCTAGAGCCTATGTCACCAGAAAGAAAAGCAAGGTGGATAAGAGAAATTGATTGGCTCTTATCTGTCACCGATCACATTGTTGAACTTGTTCCTTCCCAACAAAAATCCAAGGATGGATCAAATATGGAGGTAACGGTCTCTCTCTAATGTATTTCTTCAAATAAAACCTAAGAATTTTGCATTTATTGATTGAATAGATAATGGTGACACGACAACGAAATGATCTTCATATGAACATCCCAGCTTTGCGCAAGCTTGACGCAATGCTTCTTGTAAGAAAATAAGACTTTTGTTTCTCTTAATTTATTTGAGCTTTAGATATGAACATTGTTAAATGTGGATTGCAACAAATTTAATACATCCCTCGAAAATGGTTTTGCAATATTCAGGACTCCCTAGATAACTTTAAAGACCAAAATGAGTTTTATTATGTTTCAAGAGATTCCCATGAGTCAGAAAAAGGAGGCACCAAGAGAAAAGATGATAAATGGTGGCTACCTACTGTCAAAGTCCCTCCAGATGGTTTATCAGAAAGGGCTAAAAAATTTCTTCATTACCAAAAGGACTCTGTGAACCAAGTTCTCAAAGCAGCCATGGCTATAAATGCTCAAATTCTTTCAGAAATGGAGATTCCTGAAAACTACATTGAATCCCTTCCCAAGGTAAGAAGAAAATGCAACGGTTCCTATTAGAATACTGCATACGAGTTTTAAATGCCTTTGCTAGCTCCCTAATCGCATTTCTTTCTGGTGCTTTGGCAGAATGGGAGGGCTAGCCTCGGAGACTCGGCGTACAGGAGTATTACACTTGAGTACTTCGATCCTGATCAATTTCTGTCCGCTGTGGACTTGTCATCAGAACATAAAATCCTAGATCTCAAGAACAGAATAGAGGCCTCCATAGTGATTTGGAGAAGGAAAATGAATCAGAAAGATAGTAAATCTGCTTGGGGATCTGCTGTCAGTTTGGAGAAGAGAGAACTCTTTGAAGAGAGAGCAGAAACTATCTTACTCCTTCTCAAACAACGCTTCCCTGGACTTCCTCAATCTTCACTAGATGTTAGCAAAATTCAATACAATGAGGTAAACACAGGTTCCCTTTAATCTGGGTTTTATTCATATTACAGTTGGAGCTGAATGATCGCCTTAATCAACAAGCGTCGTAAAGAACAACCACCAGCCTTATGCGTACCTTCATACTACTTATTTTGCTATTCTAGTCATGTTTATAAAACCAAAAGGCTAACGATATATTCTTGTCCTGAAAGGATGTAGGCCACGCTATCTTGGAAAGCTATTCAAGAATTCTAGAAACCTTGGCCTCGACAGTCATGTCTCGAATTGAAGATGTGCTCTATGCTGATCATGTTGCTCGAAATCCATCTCACGCAGGACACGTGAAGAACACGTTAAAAGAGGCACCACAAGTACTGGTTTCTCCCAAAGAAGGGACAGAGAATAACTCAGAAGATACAAACGCTTCAATGACACTGTCTGATTTTATGGGTTGGGGTCAGGAACAAAATGACACTACAGCAAAGAAGGATCCATTTGGATCAGATGAACTCCTCAAAGATGACGATAAGCATACACAGAAACTTGCTAACATATCGACCAACCGGAAACCTTCCTATCTTGATAATCTAGGAGCTTCACGAAGCCCAACAGCACGCCATTGATAGCATTATAGGGGAGAAAAATGAACACGTACAGATAAAAAGAAACAGAGAAGAGAAGAGAAAGAAAGAGCAAGGCCAACACTAAAATGTGTATTTTCAGACCCTTTATTAAAGGGGTCCTTTTGGTTTGTGAATTTCTGACATATTTCCATTCCATTCCTTCCTTTTGTGAATAGGAAGAATGAACATGAGTGAAAAACCAAGAGATTCAAACATTTTGTTCAGTCATTCTGTGCAAGGAATGGATTTGTAGTTTCCTAGTCGCCCAAATGCGTTCTTCGTAATTGTCTTCAGAGTAGAGCAGACCCGATAATTATGTGTGTGACTGTGATTTACTCTCATTCCGTTCCTTTCAAGACATTTTGCCCACATGCTCTAAACTGTTCTCTCCACTGATTATATTTGTGTTTGAGAGCCAATAAGCTTGAGTGAACCTAGATAATTATGCCTGGAAGCAAGCAATTTAACACGCTACATGTATAACGACCACATATCATGGTATGCTAATAAGGAAAAAAAAATTAAAATCTTATGGAATGCCCCGAAATGACAGAGGAATCAAATATGTATGCATTGATAACCCAGGATCTTAAGGAGGATTTAGACAACCTCGCCAACCTTTAAAGTCAAAAGAAAGCATGAAAACATACAAACAAAGGGTTGACAGATCAGGATGCTAAACTAATTTAGAGTTTGCCACGAGGCCCAAGCTTCGGTGGAAGTTGTGGACCCTTCTTGATTGGTAGAATGTCACCAGAAGCTGTAGCACTAAAATAAGCGAGGGTGGAGCCACCTCCCAATATCAAGAACTTGAGCAACAATCCTCTCTTGGTGAATGGAGCTGCAAATGTCTCAAAGAATTTGCTCTGCAGTTCCATAAAAAAGCACGACACAAGGTCAATAGATAAATACGGAAAACGATGCAAAATAGCCATGGAACACACCTATGAACCTTGGCTTAATTTGAAAACATAAACTTCTAGCTGTCTTCTTCTGTAAGTAGTGAATGTGCTAGGTGCTTGCGTAGTGCAAAGCAAGCCACAAGCATTGAGGATCTAGTGAATGATACATTAACACCACTGGTTCTGGGAAAAAAAAAGTGGTAACTCGTTCAACACAAACAATTGCTGTAAAAATCTGGCATGCGCAATAAGCCTTAATTATCTAAATAATCATGCCCTTACATGACATAACACCAAAACATCTGTACCCTTATGATTCTTCTTTCCAATTGGTATATCAAATTACTCTTTGACATGGATTGAGTGTGTTGCCTCTGACTATCTCATTTCGACAAAACTAATAGAACTTACTTGACCATTGCAATACTCATAATTGTATATGAGAAATATCACTCTATCATGGAAGAAGCACACTCCTTTTTTTTTTTTTCTTTTAAGCCATTAGTTTAGACAATACTCATAATTGTATATGCAATCTATGATGTCAACAATCCTCGGTGGATCATATCAGAAATATCACTCTATCATGGAAGAAGCACACTCCTTTTTTTTTTTTTCTTTTAAGCCATTAGTTGTGCGTGAATCTCTATTGTGTCATCAAGTTTTCCTACCAAGCCCTTGCAGTGTCAGGTTGTCATTGCTCGGTTGGCTAGAGCACCTGTTCAGTATGCAGGATGTCTTTAGATCAGCTGCCTTTCAGTGGAAGGCCCTCTATATCAACAGTTACAAACTTATTTTGCACTAACCAATAACTATAATTTCCAGATAAATTACGTTGAACACCTTATATCTTGGGCGTGAAAATACTTACATTCCTTGCCAGATCTTTTGAGCGTGGTCAAAGAGCAATTTTATGAAAAATCAGGGCGAAAAGTATCCTCACGCTCAAACAATAAGGTGTTTAAGCTAATTTCCCCTTAATCCTTACTTTGACCATTTTGCATTCCCTTGTTTAATTAAGTGGTGCAACAGAACGTAAAAAAGAACTGCTAATTAATAGATTAAAAATTTGAGAGCATGGGGCAAAATAAGCGAATATAGAATTACTTATAAGGCCTTTTCATCATTGGAATTGACAGATAATGGTGTCAAACCTGAAGAGGGTTGTATGGTGAAGGGGCATCAGATCCATACAAGTCCCATTGCCCAGTAGTGTTGCCCAAATCCTCCAAATCAAAGTAGACACTCTTGTCACCATACTTTGCCACCACAGCACCACTCCTATTTATTTTAAAATAAAAGAAAACAGAGCAATGGTTCAGAAGCCTGCCGAAGTCCATGCCATAAAGCTGAAAAAAGAACAATAATATGGAATATATAGGCTTTTCATAGCTAGTCAAGAAAGTTTTGGTACCTTAAGCTTTTGGGTCTTAAGCCCTGGCGAGAAGGTTTAACATGGAGCTTGGTTCCACTGAGGGAGCTACCACCAAGGCCTTTGATGGTGGCTGGTTGCACTGCAGCAAAGGTTGCTAGTGATGCCATGGCCTTGATTTTGGTTCCCGACCAACTGGTTTCTGTCTCAGGTTGCAAGAGAGTTGGGTTTTTGATCTTTTTGCATGAATCTTAACTAGGAAACGTGGCATAATCGGTATTATCTTAAGAGATCTGGAGAGTCATATGTGCATGCCAAGTGGATTGAAGCTGGATAGGCCTATCCATTTTACGATCACTATACTCCACTTAAATTGGCAGGCACTGCAAGCTCTATTACTATTGGTCCTCCTGCACTCATAGTCTGCCAAGCTGGATTCTTTTGTATTTTATGGCACAAGTATTGGTAAGATACATTCACTTGTTCATTACACATCTTTTTCTATCACCATAATTATCATTTTGCTATATAAAAGAAAATCAAACACTTTTGAATAGGAGGTATTTTGATTTTTTTAAAATGACCTATTAATCATTAAAAATTATTCAGGGTATAGGTTTTTTTTTTAATTTTTTAACCATGATAAAATTACCTAATTACCCTTTAACCTATAAGGAAAAAAAATTTAAGTTGAAACCTAGGAGTTTTACTTTTTTTTTTTCTTTCTAAATACAGAAAAATGATAAGTTTACTCTTTAAATCAAACAAATTAAACATTCGTGCCCAAACCCTTTGATTTTTTTACTTTTTTTTTTTTGTTATTACTAGATTCATCAAGGATAATATAATTATTTAAGAATAATTTATTATTATTTAAATAAAAAGAGATGTTGGAGTATATGGTGCATATGCATTTCGTGCAGCATTTCTTGACCATAAAAAATGCCCTTCCCTAGTGTAATTGGAAGTGTCATCGCATTCTTTTCTAGTTGGTGTAACTAGTGTTAGTGGTGGTAAACTAGTTTGTTGTTGGTAGGTTTTTTTTCTTTCTCCTCTCCTAAAAATACCAGCTTAGTCCTTTTTCTTGCCTTATTCTTTTGATTTTTAATTTATATTATTGGTTTTTTTGTAAAATTTTTATTTGTTTTTAATTTTATCCTCCAATTCCAAATTGTCATTATTATTTTTTCTCAATTTGATCATTATTATTTTTTTATATTTTTTTCTTGGCTATTTTGTAAAGTTTTTATTAGTTTTTTAATTCCATCATTCAATCAAATTTATGATATGCTATGTTTTTTAATTTAATCCTTATTTTTTTAATTATTTTTGTTATTCTGTTAAAGTTATTTTTTTTTTAATTTCACCTTCTAATCAGAAACTTATAGTTGTCATCTAATTTTTTTTATTTTGATTTATATCCTCATTCTTTTAATTCCAATTTTTTTATCCTTTTATGTGTTTGTTTTTTTTCTTTCAATTTCACTATTTAACATTTGATTGGTTGAAGATTGGACTTTATGATTTTTCCATATATAATACTTCTATTCTAAAAGCCTGGGTCACGGGTTTGAAAAGTTAACGGGGTTGATATCTTTTCTTTGGCTTTTTTTTTTTTTTGATTTCATTGTTCAACATTATTTTTTTAAAAGAAAATTAGTTTTGTGGTTTTTTTATATTTTTTTTATCAGGTTATCTTAATCTCATGATCTAGGACACGTGTTTGGTGAATTAACTTGGATTGACTTGCCTCTTATTGCCTAAATTACATATTTATCATGCTAATTCGGGTTTACTCGAGCTAATTTTTTTATCCTTTTTACCTAATTTCATCCTTTCTTATTTAATTGGTTAGAAATTGAACAACATTATTTTTCTGTTATTGGAAAAGGTTTTTCCCTAGTTATCATGATTGCTAATTTATTTATTTTTTATCCATCTATTATCACTATTTTTTTTATTTTGATTAAAATAAACCAGTTTATTTGACCATTTAAAACTATAACTCTAGTCGTTAAGTTTTTTTAATATATATATAAAAAACATGTTTACAATACTTAGACATTGTTTTTTATGAAAACAATTAATACGGACCCGTAATGCCCACATTTAATAGTTTATTACAATTGAAGTGTGCAAATTAACATCATCCCTTTATAGGATTCCTTGATTTAATGCAAACTCATCAAACTTTTATATCTCTTGCAGAAATGCTAACAAATATTACAAGAACTTTGATACATGCATGTTAACAAATGCCAAGAAAAGGTAACGTGACATATATATATTTTTTCCTTTTTTTAATGCTAATTAAATATTTCAAACATAATTGTTTAAAAAACATAATGGGTAAATAATGGTGTATAAAGAAAAAAAGCCCTAACTATTTAGCCTATACCCAAGTGGAAAAGACTTATTTGATTGGGAAAATCCCTACTGTTTAGGCCTAGATCACAAAACTTGCTTTCCTCTTTCTCTTTTTATCTATTTTTCTTTTCCTTCACCCGTATTGACTCTCCATATAGGCTATCTAATATCTTTCTTAGGCATACACCTTAATATGTTGTTTTTTTATTCTCAAGTCACTAACATACCACAATTCAACAATTGTTTCCCCACCCATTCAATGAGTATTTCCCTTAACTTATTTTCTTTGTTAATGTGGCCTACTCTCCTCACCTATAATGGTTGTTTTTAGGCATACTTAGTTTGAGTTTTATACCCACAATCTTTATTTGCAAAGCCACCATTTAATACTAATAGTTATACCTCATCTCTTAAGGTATCTATTTTCTAACCAATAGTTATCATTTGACCATCTCTTAAGGTACCTATTTTCTAACCAATAGTTATCATTTGACCTGTCTCACTTTTAAGGCTAACCTTTTCATTAATGAAAAGCATTGTATCAAATATCAAAGAAAGTAATGATTCTCTATCATTACAGCTCTTTTCATGAGGTAAACTAACATGACTAAGATCTATAAAGACTTCGGTCACTAAGTAAAAAAAAAAACCCAAGCCAAGGCATTCACGACATATATTGCAATTGTTACTCTTTTTGCATATTTTTCTCATATTATCTCTTTTTGTAATTATTTTTTCCTTCTATATTTACTAACTTAAGCATCAAATGATTCTTTATTTTGATACAAAACTAGTTTTTTCAGGAATAACCAAGATCAAAGATAAAATCCTATATTCAAACCCATCATATACCAACCTAAAACATAATTGCAAAAAGCCCAATCCACTTTAAAGTTCTAGAAAATTTATTAGCTTTAAAAGTCAGTGGATGAGCAAAGTATGAGAAATGTTTCTACTAATATTAAAAAAAAAAGGTTTAAATGCATATTGAAAAAATTTTAGTTGTTAACTATTCATTAGAACAATCACCTACTTCTACTATTCACTTTATCATATTCTCTCTCTAATGAATATTTATTATAGAATTTTGAAATGTTGGTTTAAACACTAGAAACATTGGTACTATAATCATTCCATGTAATATAAATATATGTAATTTATAATATAAATACTTTGGATGATTGCATTGAAATTATAGTCATTAATAGTTAATATTGCTCAATACCCATAAAATATTTGAAAGGATCATTATGCCTTCAACATTATAATTATTTTAGTTGTGATCATCATATTCTTATCCTAAAAAAATAGTAAAAAAAAAAAAGATAAGAAGAAGATCAATACCCTAACACATACCTTTTTAATTTATTGAATACGATGGATTCAGTCCTTTGACCTCGTCAATCCTTATGGTGTTTTTTTTATGGTAATTTAGAATCTAATCCATTGTGTTTTACTTGGATTTTTTTTTTTGGTATTACATGGATCTATTTTATGTTTTTTCTTTTCTTTTTTAGGTGATTAACATGGAATTTAGGTAATTTATCAAGTTTGAATTAATTAAATGGGTTAAATAGAAGATTTTTTATTTGAGATTATTAACTTAATTCAACAAGATTAATATTTACTAGGAAGATATGAAGCAACTTGCACAGGAGTATGGATTCAAGATATTCCATTCTACACCTTATTATATATTTCTTATTGATTGATCGATCATAAGATAATGATTAAAGTTGTTTAAAGAATAGATCATCCAAAGGTTAGGACTCTTAGATACCATCTTTAGTAACCAAGAGTCATATTTACTAGGAGGGATATGAAACAATTCACACAAGAGTATGGATTCAATATAGCCCATACTAATCTTTATTATGCATAAGTCAATGAGCAAACAAGATTATTCACTAACTATTGTAAGTGTTATGGGCATAAAAACTTCACTATCTTTTTAAGAACCTCATCATTCACTTTAACATATCTTTATGATGTCATGTTACCTATGAATAAAGCTCAAGTTGAAATCACTTAAAAGGCTTACATGTATGGCATCGATAGTTTAGATTACTAGTCAGTCATACTAGTAGAGTTAAAAAACTTGGATGATGTAAGACTTTATATATTAGATCATTTATTAGCATATAAGAAAGTTAAAAAAACATGTAACATGTTTGATTAAAAACTTCTCATTAGTTGATCTAGTATGGAAGGCCATACTTCTAATTGGTAAAAACAATAATCTAAAATTTGGCAAGTAGTTCCTAAATTGAAAGAGTTCATATGTAGTTGTCAAATTTCTTAAAAAAAAGTTCAATAACCTTGTCAAATTTCTTGAAAAAAAGTTCAATAACCTAGTAAATAAAGATGGGAAAATACAATATCAATTAATCGATAATTGATATTTGAAAAAGCATGACCCAATGTGAGGTGTTTAGAAGCTAGTACCCTTAAAGGAATCAAAGGATTAGTCTAGAGATTATAAGAATGACACTAACCCAGGCAAGTACAATTTGTGCTTAGATTAGAGTATGATGTTTAGGCTTCATTTCATTCATCATATTGATTTTGTGTTTCTTTAATACAACATGAATTTAAGCTATTTAAAATACAATCAGTCAAATCAAAGATGAACATCATTGTTTAGGAAAATATAAGATCAACTTCAAATTATTCTTCATTTAGTATTAAATATCATGTACTAATTTGAATTATGCCATTTTAATAAGGATTTAAGTTGTTAGTTTAGTATGACCAGTTGTTTAAGCTAAATGAGCAATTTGTTCACTGATTAGTACTTAAAAGTGCATTTTTATCATGGTTTTATATCATCATTTTGCACTTGAAGTATCAATAACTCCTTAACCAAAGCATATTTTATAATAATATATCTAATAATATAAGATA